ACGGGGGGAGCCGCGGGGGAAGCGGAGCGGTGCTGAGGGGGGGGCGCTTGGGGGCCCCTCGGTGTTTCCGCCTGAGGGGAGGCTCGGAGCCCTCGGTGATTCCCCTTGGGGCGGGTAAAACCGGGACCGGTTAATTAATTAACAAACCCATTAGCGGGCCTCGGTGCTGGAAAAAGCTCTTTCCCGATTAAAACTGCGGATAAAGCGGCTGTGGGGTGAAAGGGCTCGCAGCGGCGTTTGGGCTGGGGGAAGCTCGATCCTGGCGTGAGGGAAGAGGCGCAAAAAGCGGCGGAGAACCGGCAAAAGTGCCGGGGGGAGCCGCTGGGAAAACAAAAAGGAGGGCAGGGCCACCGAAAGCAGCGAGCAAACATCCTCGGAGAGGGCGTGGAGAGGCTCCCAAATTCGGGCTGCTCTCCTGCTTTTATCCCCGCTGCTCTTGGCACCCCGAGCCCGGCGCCGAAGCTGCGAATTCGCCTCTTTTTTTCTTTGCCCGAAATCTCGCCTCAGCTGCCGTGTTTGTGTCCTTATCCCGGTTTTCCCCTGGAGGGATCCTGTGCCGCTCCTGAGCCGGGTTTGCTGGGCTCCTCCGCTTTTTGGGGCTGGGCTGCTCCTTCTCGGTTTTCCCGGGGTGAAAGGAGCTGGGCAAACCCAGGGAAGCGGAGGAAAATGAGTTTGGCACGCAGCTAGGGATGCTCCGCAGATCCTGGAAGTTGCCTCTCACTCGGAATCCTGCTGCCTGGTGGGTGCTCGGTTATTTTAGAGCAGAATCCTGCCTGATTCCAGACGCGTTTTTTGTGGTTTTTTCCCCCAAAATGATCCCTTCTTTCCGTAAAGGAAGATGCGTGCGGCTGCAGACGGGGGAGGTGGGAGGTGGCAGGGGCTCGGGTCTTGTTCGGAGTTGGCTTTTCCTTTGTTTCCCCGAGCTGGCCGTGTTTTTATACCCCCCAAAAACCCCGAAATGGGATGTGTTTGATCGCCTTTCCCCCCGCCCCGAGGAGGACAAAGTCCAAACTGCGGCCGGAGATGAACGGCGCCGTCGCTTTTCCAGGATTTATCCCGAGCTCTGCTTCCAGCCGGGGCTGTTCTGTCGGGCTTTGCTCGAGTGCTGGCTCAGCAGGTCAAAAATGGAGAGCTGCGGGAGCCCCCGGGCTCCTCGGGCTGGGAAAATTGGAGGGAGGACACGGGCAGAGCTGGGATGTGCTGGGAGCTCCGGGATCCCGAGGATTCGGTGCTCCCATTTCTGTCTCCCTGGGGAAAAATAATGCTTAAACTTGTTTCTTTAAAAATTATATTTATTTATTTTTTACGAGGCGGCAGGGATTTAGAGCACAGAAAAATTTAGGGATAGCCCCTCACGACAAATCCCTGCTTGGCATGGATATAGATTTATTTTTTAATGTATAAATATGGTCGAGCTCATCCTGGCTGTCTCCTTTTAAGGCAGTATTCCAGGAGCACCAAATCCCAAACCTGACCTTCCAACAGCAGTTGTTTAGGAAGTGTGGAAGGCTTGTGCCCGCACAAAGGCATTCGGGACTGTGTCTTCGGGGCAGAGCGAGCTCCCGGCTCGAAAATACAATTAAACAGTCTGAAAATTGAATGGAAGCCGGAGCCCGAGGCTGTTAAACGCGGAGCTGATTGTTTCACGGTCTCCTGCACAGGAAAGAGCCCTGGCTCTGCGCTCCGTCCATCCCCTTCCTGGGGAAAAGATGAAAGCGCTGGGCGCTCTGGCTCAGCACCGTTTGTCTCCCCGGCAGATCCTGCGCGGCTCCCGCCGGGGCTCCCAGCCATGCGCACGGCGGGATGAAGCTGCAGGCGGTGGTGGAGCAGCTGCAGAAGCAGCAGCAGCAGCAGCAGCAGCAGCAGCAGCAGCAGCAGCAGCAGGCAGTGCCCATGGATTGCCGGGAGCGCCGCCGGGAGCCGCAGGTGCCGTTCCCGACGCCGCCGTTCCCTGCCCAGCCCCGCTCCATCGGCCAGCGGCTGCCGGTGCCGGCTGCTGTCCCCCCGGGCAGAGCCCCCAGCGCGGCCAGCCGGGCCTCGGAGCACGGCAGCAGGAACTCTGAGGACGAGGAAGATGAGGAGGAGGAGGAGGATGAGGAGGAGGAGGATGAAGAAGAAGACGGCGCCGAGCTGGAGGACGGTGCCGAGGTGCCCGGCCAGGAAAGCCGCTCTGCCCTGGAGTATTTCCGCGCTCCCAAAGCCGCCCATCCCAAGCAGAGAGCGGGCTCCAGCCCCGTGCCGGCCGTGGGGCACCCGCGGGGCGCCCAGCAGGGCGAGGAGGAGCAGGGCAAAGACTCTGCCAAGCATCCCGGAGCCCCAGCGGGGCGCCCCGGCTGGCGCCTGGACCAGCAGCTCAAACAGGTCAGTGCCGCCATTCCCCGCTCCCAAAAAACCACCTCCATCCTCACGGGCACTCAGGAGCACTCTCCTCCATAGAGAGATTCCCAAAGAATTCCCAAAGCCAGAGGGCTTTAAGGATTTCCAGCTTGGGATAGAGTCCCTGCTCCGTGAGAGCCTTTGTGGGCTGGGATTTTGGGAAAAGCCTGGTGTTTGTTTCTTGTCCTTGATCCCTTTCTGGGATGCTGGAATTGTGAATTTCTGAGTGCTGGCATGGGCAGGCAGGGAGATGTGCCCTGATCCTGGGAGACAGAGCCACTTTATATTCCATGTGTGGGAAGGCAGAAGGGGAAGGAGGAGAGGAGAGGAGAGGAAGACGAAAGGGAAGGAAAGGAAAGAGGAAAGGGAAGGAAAGGGCCAGCCAGCCCACTGCTGCCTCGTGGGAGGTTAATTCCACGTTTCCCTCCTCGTAGCCTGGGGATGGTGGAATCATTCCCTCAGTAGGAATGTCAGTGGATCGCTGGGATCTGTCCCTGCAGAGCAGGTGGGAGCTCCCAGCCCAGCTCCTCGGGGAACTGGGCTGTAAAACACCCCGGGGAAACACTTGCTGCTGGTTTTCCTCCAAGGAGCTGGGCGGGGGAGAGGGAATTGCTGAAGCTCCTGCAGGGAAACAAGGCAGGTTTGTCAGTCAGGGGCCTCGGAATTTACTGGATGGGAGTGGTGAAAACTTCCTCTTTCAGGGCTCTGGGTGGGGAACAGGAGGCAGGGCTCAGGTCTTAAGGGATCCATTTATTTAAAAAGCCAAATAAGCTCGGCTTAGTCCGGGGCTGGCTTTGTTCCTTGAGAACAAAATTTTGTTCCTGGTGAGAGCCCTGCAGATCTCACTGGCCCTGAAACCGTCCAGGGCTGGCCTTGCCTTGTGTGGAAGAGGAGGAAAAAAAGGTGGAATAAAACATCATTCCACGTGCTCTGGGCTATTCCTGTGCCTGGGCCACTTTAATCCGGCAGCCCAAAGTGCCCAAAGGTTCAGCAGGAAAAACTCAAACAAAACCACTTTTTGCTGCTGGGAAAGGCAGGAATGGGAGGAATCCACGGACACCAAGCTCAGGAGCGGGTTAGAAGGAAGTAGTGGAGCTCTGCTCTGGGAAACAGTGGGAAAATGTGGCAGGAAAAGGCCCTGCTGTCCCAAAATTTGTCCCCGGCACAGCCATTGGCTTGGATCCATGGTTGGGATCCAAATGGAGCTGCTGATGCCCAGTTCCCAGCTGGGAAATAAAACCAGGGGGGCCTGGAGTGGCAGGAAAGGGAGGGAGTTGTGTGGGGAGCTGTGGGTTTAATTCCTTGGAATCTTTAATATCCAGGCATCTTTTAAAGGGATGGGCTCTTTCCTTTGCTCTCTGTCTTTTATGGGCAGAAAAAATCCAGGATAAATCAGATCCTCCGGTTTGTTTCCAACATTATTTTTGGATGAGTCTTTTCTTTTTTCAGTTTATTTTGCCAGTCCTGTGCCCTGCTCCGAGAGCATTCCTGGGATGCAGGATGCTCATGGAAACTGGGGGGGAAAGTCACTTCCTTCCTTCCCTCAGGGGTGACTCGTTCTTCTGGAAGCCTTGGGGAAAAGCATCCCTTGGAATTGTGAGCCTGGGATTGCCCAGGACACGGAGATTTCCCAGGCAGAAATCTGGGAGCCACCAGGAAAACGAAGCCACTTCTGTCCCATCCCAGGAAATAATTGTAGGGCGAGGCTGCGGGCGAAAGGATGGGAACGAGCTGGATTTTGGAATGATGGGGAATTCTGTCAGCACAGGGACTCCTCCAACCCTCAGGAATGCCCTGAAACCTATCCCAGCTCCTGGAAAAGGGCTGGTTTTGGGGAAAAGTGAGGGTTTAATTCCAGGGGTTGGGCACCTGCTGGCTCCTCATCCCGTGGGTGCTCACGTTGCTTGGGAATGCCGCTGATTCCCGGGAAAGCTGAGCAGGGAGAAACAGGAGCAGGGCTGGATGCTGCTTCCCCCTGCTCCAGCAAGGCTGCTGCAGCACCAGCACCGGCGTTTGCATCAGGAATGTGGGAATAAATCCCAGATTCCCAGGCCTGAGCGAGTGGGACGCTCACCGGGAGCAGTTTGTGCCCGGGATTTTGGGGATGGCTCTTCCCAGAAATCGCTGGGACCTGAACCTTGCCAGAGGTCAGGCTGTTGATTAAAATAATTACTTAAAATAATTACTGAGCCTTTGCTGGGGGAACGAGTGGCTGGCATTCCATAACCTCAGGTGTGTGCCTGGAGTGCAGGGATTGCTCGGGGGAGACCCAGTAATCCAGGATGGAGGGGGAAAAAAGGGGAAATTCTCCCTGTGGTTATTCCAAGGTTGGATTTTCAAGCCCTTTGGGGGTATTTTCCCTTTTATGCTGCGGTGGGAGGAGATCCCTCGTTGCCAGCTGAGAGCAAACACCTGCTTTTTCTTCTGCTTTGGATTCTCCCTGAAACCCCTGGCTTAGGTTCAGAGGATTCCCCAGCTCCTCACCTGCAGAATTCCACAGGTGAGTTGGGCTGTGCTGGATCCGGAGGCAGGAAAAGGAGCAGACTTGTGGGGTTTGTTCAGGTGCCACACTTATTTATAGGAGTAGTGGCAGCTTGTCTGCTGCAGTGCCAGTTCCCGGGAATTCAGGCTGGAGACAGGAGGTGTGAGGAGCTGGAATGTGTTGTTTCCTCGCGTTTTTCTCGCTCCGGGGTAAAGCCGTGACTCCGGGCTGGCACTGACAATCCCTCTTCTCACTCCAAATCAGTCTTGGCACTCGGCTTTTGGCTGATTCCTCGGAGTCTTTGGGAACAGGAGGCGTTCAGAGAGCCCAGCTTTTCCTCAAGGATGAGGGAGCAGGTTCCTGTTTGCTCTCGGAGAGAACTTAATTAAAGGAAAAAAAGCAATTAATCGGTTAAACCTCAGCCCTTCCCTTCCCCATCCTCCCTGCCATTCCTGAAATCACTAAAATGTTTTCGAGGGCTGCCTTTGAAGCTGAATTGAGCTCTGTTATTAGGAAGGCAGGGAAGGGTTGATTCCCATTCCAGGGGAGCTGGTGTGGGCAGTAATTACCCCTTGGCTCTCCCTGCCTGAGAACTCGCAGCTCGGGGCAGCAGCCCTGATCTTATCAGCCTTTGTACTACAACAGTTTTCTTTCTGGGAGCATCTGTTTCACTTCCTAGGGCTTAACTCTGCCCACAGAAGGAATTTCTGTGGATTCCCTGATAATCCTGAAATTGCAGCTCCCCCTCCTGCCCCCGTCCCTTTTCATTGACTCGACCCACGGGGCAGGGGAGGGGTTTCCTTGGGCCTTCAGCCTCATCCCCAGGCAGGTATTCCAGCAGATTCCTGGCCTAAAACTGCTGTCCAAAGTGAGGAGGGGCAGAATGAGTCTGGATCTGATGGCACAAGTTGTTATCCCTCGGGTTTTGTCCTGGAGAGAGCGGGAAGTGTTTGTGGGGACCCCGGTGTCCCGGCTTCTCCCAAGGTCCCCTGATGCCCTGCGGGGATTTATGGGCTTCTCCTGCCATCCCTGCAGAGGAGGAAGTTCTGTTTTCCCAGCAGGAATGGCAGGGAAGCTGGAGCCCGAGCTCTCCTGCTGGGCAGAAGGGATTTTGTGGAGCATCTGGAGAACTTCTGGTGATTTCCCTGTGCTGGAGTCGGGATCACCAGTGGGGAAGGGCCTGTTCTGTGCATAAATACGGCTTTCCATGGATCAACACCACTTCATTCCCTGCTGCTGGGCTGCCATGCCCCACATCTCCATGCCCCGGGCTGAGGAGCCCTCTCCTCGTCCCTGAGCCCTTCCCAGCTGCTGCAGGAGGAGGTGCTGAGGCTGCCCAGAGCCCCCAGGGTCACGCCAGGTGAGAGCTGGCCCTGCTGCTTTGGTGGCCATATGGCCAAACCCTGGTGGCTCCAGCTCCCCCTAAGCTCCTTTTCCCAGGAGGCACTCCTGAGATTCCCAGGCTGGAGCAGTGGGAAGTGGGATGGAATGATTCCATTCCCATTCTGTTCTAATCACCCATTTTTTTATTATTCCCTAGAGAACAAGCCAAATGCATTCTGTTCAACTTTTCACGAGTCTTTAAGCCCTTTAAAAGTTTTCCCCCTGGGAATTATCCCAAGTTCAAACCCACTGGCGGGAGGGAATTTGCCTCCTTCTTTCTCATCCCTGCCCTCAAATGTAGCGGAATAAGCTCTCAGCGTGACCAGAATTCCCTCTGGAAGCCCAGTTCTGCCCTCTGGATTTATATCCAAGAGCAAACCTGGGAAGGGAGCAGCCAAAGAAAGCTGAATCTTCCCAAATCCCTGAGCCTCAGGAGTGTGGAAGGTCCAGGATGGGAAGTTGCTGCTGCCCCCACTGTGTCTGATTCTGGCTGCTCCACAGATTTGATCCCAGAAAACAGTCAGGAGGGCTTGAGGAGCAGCTGGGTGCTTCCATAATGAGCAGAAATCTGTGGGTTTAATCTCTGCTGGATGGAGAGGGAGAGAGGCTCCAGGAGAAAGGACATTGGGATGGGTCCTCCTGCGAGCAGACCCCGCATCCCTGCCTGGAGAGGGCTGGGAATTGATCCTCCGCTGCAAACAGCTGACAGAACAGAAGTGGCAATAATCCCCCATTAAATATCTCTCGGTTGATGGGGTAATTGACTTTCCAGCAGGAATTACTGGCTCAAACCAAATCAGCGGGCATTAGGGAGCTCACTCCGGGTCTCGGGATCGGGCATGGAGCCGTGGCCCAGCTGTTCATCTTCCTGATTCAGTGTGTGTCTCCCAGCCAGGTGACTCGGGGATTTGGGGTGCTGGAGCCACTCCAGGATTCCCAGGGAGGAATTCCCAGGGGGTGCTTTTGGGGGTGCTGGCAGCTTTGCTCTCCATGTTTGTCTGGGTGGATTTGGCTCCTCCTTCCTTTTTCCAGCACACGCAGGACTTTACGGAGTTGGTGCCTGGATTTATTTCAGGATCATCCTGGCCTCCCATCCAGCTGGAGCTGCTGGTGTCCAGCCCTCGGAGACCATTCCAGGGTGGTGATTTCCCAAGTGGAATAGGGTCTAATCAGATTAATCCTTCTAACGAGCCTTAAGCCAGCAAAGCCGAGCTTTCCATTTCTCGGGGAGGGGGGAAAATCCACATCCTCCTGGGAGTCAGGGTACCAAGCAGCTCTCCAGAGGGATTATTCCCCTCCTTCTGCTCCTGGTTTTCCAGGGAAGCGTGGGGACGATGGCAGGGCTCTTCCAGGTGTGTCACCTGGAGGATGGGAAGGGAGGCTAACGCCTTTCACCGGGGGGATCTGGGGTGTGCCCTTGGAAAAAATGATGGACACAGGGAGGAAAAGCAGCGCCTCTTTAGGAGCTGGGTCTCATTCCAGCAGAGCCACAGAGGAGAAGGAGCTGGCATCCTGCTCTTCAGGATGGGAGGGAATGTGCCTGGGGGGTGAAATTCCAGTTCCCATTTTGTGTGAGAGATCCCAGGAAATTCCCTCAAATGCCCCCCTCCACCTCTCTTGTCACCTCGGGCTAAACCAGCAGCTGCTTTTCCGTGTGTTTGTGCCTAAAAATCCATGTGTTGGAACCTTCTGGAGCCTTTCCTTGGGAACCCTTCCCTCCTTCGCTGCTTTTCCCTCCGCAGAACGGCAGCGTGACCTGGAGCGACGAAGGCGACGGATGCCGGGGCAGAGAAATCTCCCGAGACTTTGCCAAGGTCTGTCTGGGTACTTTGGGAAGGGGGAATTTGGGGAATTCTCCTCCTGATCCATGGCAGAGCCCTGCCTGGAGGGAATTGGTGGGGAAAACTGCTTTGTCCTGGGATTTGGGGCCGGTTTGCTCTGGGGTAGAGTTTGAATTAACAACCAGAAAATTTAAAAACTCGAGTCTGGGTTTTGCTCCAGCTGGGGTTTGAACGTTTTCCCTCTGGAATCCCGTGCTCGTGGATTTGGATGTGTCACAGCAGCTGGAGGAGCTCAGTTGAAACTAAACTAAGGCAGCTCTGCCCTTCCCAGAGCTCCCCAGGAATTCAGCCCCCAAAACCCCTCTCCTTTAGGGACACGCTGCCTGGGGAACCTCATTCGAACGATTTGGGCGTTTCAAACCTCCTGCTAAAAAAGGATTCCCGCAGCAAACGGATTCTGAGCCGACTTCTGGAGGGTTTTGGTTTATTTGGAGGCACTGCCAGGCGCACAGGGAAGCTCTGTCCTTTCATCTCCTCCTCCCAGGGCTTTGGCACTTAGGTGCCAATCCCTAAAGGAGGAAGGGAGGAGCTGCAGGGAAGTTTCCAGCGCTGCTCTGCGCTGCTGACTGAGCTGAGGGTCGGATCTGATCACCTTGGAGATCCTTCCCAGCTCTGGGAATCCCTTTAGGATGGCAGGCTTTGTGCCTGGATGAGTCCCTGAGGGGCTGAGTGAGACTCCTCAAACCACCAAATCCCTCAGGAGCCTCTCCCCATTTCCCCTCTTTGCCTTCCTTTATTCCTTTGCCAGTGTTCCTTTATTTTCTGTCTCCCTGTGAGCTGTGCCCTCATTCTGGTTCATTCCTCCCTTGGCAGCTCTACGAACTGGACAGCGATCCTGAGCGGAAGGAGTTCCTGGATGACCTCTTCATCTTCATGCAGAAGAGGGGTGAGTGCCACTTGCTTGAGTTCCATGAGTAAAACGGGGCAGGAAAGGGAATTCCTCCCTCCTGAGGCTGAAATAACAAATCCAGGAGCTAAAAACACTTGGGGCATTTCCCTTGGGGGAGCAGTAGGGAAAATCTGCCCTGTCACTTCAATTTCTTCACCTCCCAGTGTAGTGCTGGTGTTGTCCATACCCTGAAAATCCCAGGAATCTTTTCCTGGCGATTTCCAGGCTGTCAGTTTTCCAAACCCAGCTCTCAGTGCAGGCTGTTGATAATGAAGTTGTGCTGAAATGTGGTGTTGGATAAAAGAAGCACCTCTGAAGGTTTGGGGTGCCCTCTTGTCCCTCCAAGGGTGCCACTTGGGAACTCTTCCCAAGCAACATCCATCCAACACAGCCTTTTTCCCACGTGGATTTTCCCTCTCCAGCAGCTCCAAGTTGTTAAACTCGGGCTGAGAGGGGTTTTTTGGCTGGAATTTTTGGCTTTCGAGGGCAGAGGCAGGATGGATTGCAGAGGGCCTGGAAATCCACCCCGTGCTCCAGCTCCTGCTTCCTCTTCCCCGTTAATTATTGATAATTAACACTCCCAGGGTTGGGGCTGGGCCGCTCACCAGCTGGAGGAGTGCAGCTTTCCATCAGCTGGAGACTCCCTTGTTTTCCTGCCTGCTGCTGCATCTGGGGGGGAAAGAGCTCAGAGAGGCCAGGAATGTTTGGATTTATGGAATTCAGCCAGCCCAGTTTCTCCAGGTTGATGGGAAGAGTGGGAAAACTGGGCAGAGTGTGGGTAGAGCTGCAGGAGGTGGTTTCTCCTCCATCCCTAATCCCAACTGCTGTGCCAGTCCTGCAAAGGGAATATTTTTTAGCAGCTGTGGACCCGTTTTTTTCCCATTCCTGCTCTTCCCAGGGTTTTGGGGGGCAGGGAGTAGGTGGAAATCCCTCTGTGGGGTTTTTTTGGGAGCTGCTCAGCCCATCCAGGGATAACCATAAGGATTCAGGCATCACTTCTCACTGTGTGCTGACAAACATCCCAATGCCAGGCTGAGGAGCTGCCTTGTCCCAAAAACCCCAAATCTGCTCCTCTCTGAGAGCAAAGTGCTTCTAAAATCCAAAAAAAACCCAAATCTGCTCCTCTCTGAGAGCAAAGTGCTTCTAAAATCCAAAAAAAACCCAAATCTGCTCCTCTCTGAGAGCAAAGTGCTTCTAAAATCCAAAAAAAACCCAAATCTGCTCCTCTCTGAGAGCAAAGTGCTTCTAAAATCCAAAAAAAACCCAAATCTGCTCCTCTCTGAGAGCAAAGTGCTTCTAAAATCCAAAAAAAACCCAAATCTGCTCCTCTCTGAGAGCAAAGTGCTTCTAAAATCCCAATCCCAGCCTGAAAAGCTGCCTTGTCCCCAAAAAAAAACCCAAATCTGCTCCTCTCCCAAGAGCAAAGTGTTTCTAAAATCCACAAAAAAACCCAAATCTGCCCATCTCTGAGAGCAAAGTGTTTCTAAAATCCCCAAAAAACCCCAAATCTGCTCCTCTCTGAGAGCAAAGTGTTTCTAAAATCCCAATCCCAGGTTGAGGAGCTGCCTGGATCCCAAAAAACCTGGAGCAGTGGGAATGGGCTGGGAAAGGGAGGCTGGAGTGGCCCTTTGGGGTTTTGTTCCTGGGATGTGCCCCGGGAAGGGAGCGGCGACAGCGAGGCTGGGGCGGAGCAGGACACGTGTCCCTGTTGTCCCTTCCCCTCCTCCCAGGGCTCTGGTGGCACTTGGAGCCACCACAGTTGGTGTTAGCCCAGGTTGCCCCATCCCTGGAAGTGCCCAAGGCCAGGCTGGAGCAGCCTGGGATGGTGGGAGGTGTCCCTGCTGTGGAACTGGATGGTTCTTCAGGGTCCTCTCCAGCCCAAACCATTCCTGCTCCTTCAGGGTCCTCTCCAACCCAAACCATTCCTGCTCCTTCAGCTCCCTCCAACCCAAACCATTCCTGCTCCTTCAGCTCCTTCCAACCCAAACCATTCCTGCTCCTTCAGGGTCCTCTCCAGCCCAAACCATTCCTGCTCCTTCAGCTCCTTCCAACCCAAACCATTCCTGCTCCTTCAGGGTCCTCTCCAACCCAAACCATTCCTGCTCCTTCAGGGTCCTCTCCAACCCAAACCATTCCTGCTCCTTCAGGGTCCTCTCCAGCCCAAACCATTCCTGCTCCTTCAGCTCCTTCCCAGCCCAGCAGGGAATCCACCATTCCTTGTGTTTAAACTCCTGGAAGTGGGGGTAGGATGGGAGCAGGCACAGATCCCAATCCCCTGGGATCTCCAGACAATGTGAATCCAGCTCCTCTGGGGACGTAGCATCCCAAAATCTCCTCCAGGGAAGGCCTTGCTCATCCACCTTTTTTTTTGCCAGGGGGCCAAAAGCCTCTAGCAGATCCTCATTTGGTATTTTGGGGTAGTTTACCTGCAAATTCCAATTATTTAGGAGAAGTTTGCAGCTGCTCCTTCCAGTAACACCCAAACTTTCTCCCCCTTTTTATTATAAAACAAAACATTCCTGGCAGGCAGGCAGGAGAATTTGTTTTTTCCTCTAATTTGGAAAAAAACCTGGAACTTTCCCTTTGGAAAGATCTGGGGAAAAAAAAAAACCAACCTTTTCTAGGAAAGTAAACATTAATTATCCCTTTAAGCAGCTGGAAACAGTGGTTTAGAGGGAATATTGTTTTAGCTCCAAAGGAAAATCACATTGGAAGTAATTTCCCGGGAAAACAGAATGAGGAGTTTGTCTGGTCCTGGCTTAGAGGAGCTTTGCTTTGGGTTTAGTTGGGGTGAAGGGTGTTTGGGATCCCCATTCCAGGGATTGCAGCTCTCCATGGGATCCCCATTCCAGGATCCCCATTCCATGGGATCCCCATTCCAGGATCAGGGATTGCAGCTCTCCTTGGGATCCCTGTTCCTTTTTATCCCAACTCTGGAGAACCAAACCCCATAAAGCTCAGTCTGACCCCCTGAACCAGCCAGGATTTGTCCTTGGAGAGGGATTTGGGCAAACCAGGAGCTGAGGCAGCGTGGGGGCTGAGTTGATTTCCTTCTGCTTGGCTGGGAATTCCCACACCCCACGGAATTACCGCTTCTCCCTCGAAAGAAATACCGAGTTCTGTTCTGGAGATTTGGCTCCATATTGTTTTAAATCCCTGTGGACTTTCCCAGCTTCCTGGGGAAAACCTGTTCCTTCTGGCTGCCCCTTCCAGCATCTCCTCCCAACATATTTGGAGTGGGAAGAGCAGCTTTTTTTATGTACCTGCTCCAGATTGTGGCTTAAAAATGTCTTTTCCCTGCCTGGTTTTTCACTCTGGGACACGTTTCAGCTGGATTCCAATGTCCAAGCACTCGGGATTCTCACCTCCTTTGTTCCTTGCCTGTGAAACTTGGGCAGTTGGGCAGGGAAATTGGATAGGGAAAGGTGGGAGGTGGTTGGGAAAGCAGGGCTGGGTGTGATTAAGTGCCCTTTGTGCAGGACAAGCCCTGGGAATCTCCAGCACGGAGGCCAAGCAAACTCCTGAAATTCCCTGGAATTCGGCTCAAAGCCTCAGGGGCTTTGTTTTGAGGGGTGGGGGCAGTTATTTTGGGGCAGTTTTCCCTCAGTCAGGGTCTGACTCTCAGGTTTGGCTACGGGAGGGTGAAGAAGAGGAGAGCAAAGGCCTGGGGTGGTGTTGGATGGGAGGGAGAGGACGGTCCAAGGTCAATCCCCTTCCCCAGGAGCTGCTTCCCGCGTGTAAACCCAGCCATTCCAGGCTTTCCTGGGGCTCCCAGCTCCCTCAGCCCCTTCAGGAGCTCCGGGAGGCTGCAAATCCAGCAGGTTTTCCAAGCGTGGCGCAGAGGGGCCGCTGAGGTCTCGCTGGGGAAGCCCCCGAGGCTCCCGATCCGTCTGCCTGGAACAGAAGAGGCTTTGGAAGGGGAGACATTCCCTGAAAGGCCAGAAATGTTTATGGCTCCAGTCAGCCTTCCTCTGGGGAAACCCTTGATTCCTGAAATCCAGACCATGGCCACCTTTCTCCTCAGAAAACCAGCTCCTTCTGAACCCAAACCATTCCATGGTTCTCCAGCTCCTTCTCAACCCAAACCATTCCATGGTTCTCCAGCTCCTTCTGAACCCAAACCATTCCATGGTTCTCCAGCTCCTTCTCAACCCAAACCATTCCATGGTTCTCCAGCTCCTTCCCAACCCAAACCATTCCATGGTTCTCCAGCTCCTTCTGAACCCAAACCATTCCTGCTCCTTCAGCTCCTTCCCAACCCAAACCATTCCTGCTCCTTCAGCTCCTTCCCAGCCCAGCAGGGAATCCACCATTCCTTGTGTTTAAACTCCTGGAAGTGGGGGTAGGATGGGAGCAGGCACAGATCCCAATCCCCTGGGATCTCCAGACAATGTGAATCCAGCTCCTCTGGGGACGTAGCATCCCAAAATCTCCTCCCTCTCCATGGGACAACTCCACTTTCCCCTTCCACACTTATCTGCATCTCCCCTTTTCCAGTGGGAACAGGCTCCTCCTGCCCCTCGTTTGGCTGCGACCGGCCAAGTTAGGGAGCTGCTAAAAGGCAGGAAAAGTTGTTTTCCAGAGCAGCTGGGAGAGGAGGATCTTCCTCAGCCGCTGGGAGCTGGGCGGGGCTCGGGGCGGGAGGCTTGGAGGTACAGTAAAATGAGTTTGCCATCAAAAGGCAACAAGTCTTGGGCCGTGCCCCCGGCTGCTGACCTTTCCCTCTGGAATTCTGCCCCCTGACCCCGGGATCATTAATCCTGGTGCTGCCAGATGACAGTAATCCATCATGGCCCCTGACAGCCCTGCCCGGCACAGGATCCGCCGGGCTCTCGGCTTTCAGCCTTTCCTGTCGCGGCTCTGGGAGTTTCCAATAAAAACCTTTCCTTTCTCGCCTTCCCCGGGCAGGGCTGGGGGAGGAGAGGGCGCCGCATCCCTCTGGAAAACACCGGGAATGCGCCGGGGCCGGACCCCGACTCCCTCTCTGCTGGATCCGCGGGGCGGTGCCGAAGGAACGCATGGAAAATGGAATTATCCCGGCTCCTGGGAGCCATTCCCTCCCTGCTGTAAAGCTGGACACAGAGATTTTATTTGGGGGGAAAAAAACCAAACTCAGATAAAAACTCAGTGGATAAATTTATGTTCTCTGTGTAAACACATTTAGCTGAGTTGATAAATGCGTGTTTCTGTCGAAATCCCTGTTTAGCCGAGTTGAGAAATGCACGTTTCTAGCTAAATTTCAGTTTAGCCGAGTTCATAAATGAAATTTCGGGCCACTTTTGGTCCCGTTTAAAAGCAAAGCTGAGGGAGGGAAGGCGTCCAGGGGGTGCTGAGGTGGTTCAGGGAGGTCACACCCCATCGCTGCTCCTGCTCCAGCTGGGAGCAGCTCCCTGGAAATGCTTCCCCCTTTTTTCCCCGCCGATGCAGGGGATGTTTGTGCCTCTCCCAGGAATATCTGGACTGAGAATTTCTGTATTTTCCCAGCTGCTGAGCTGGTGAAACCTGCAGAAGGGTAGAAGCGTGTCTGGGGGAAACGCAGGGTATTGAAAAGCAGATATTTGTTCACAGTTTCTGCTGAGAGCTTTATCCATGGCCCTTCCCTTTCACTCTCCATCTGGATGAGAGCTGGCTGAAAGTCCCTTCTGGACAAGTTAATGCTATTCCCTAAATTGGATTGGGTGGCTTTGGCTGCAGGGGAGAGGGGCTTCATCCTCCTCCAGCCCAGCAAAGGCTTTGCTGCTCTAATTAATGAAAAAAGGGGAATTTTGGCGTGTTCTGGAAGTATTTCCATGTTTTCCCTGCTGGTGTGACTCAGGTGATGAGTGACAGCTCGAGGTAACTTGATCATTTCCCTGATTCCCAGTGTTCCGTGGATGCCGTGGCGCTGTCACCCTGCTCCCAGCGCCCCGAGACCAAATGGAGCCTCAGGAAAAAAAAACGGAGCAAATCCAGGATTTTTCATGCGGGAGGGATGGAGCCACAGAGAGTTTGGAGGGTTTGGAATTCCCTCTGTGCTCCCTGAGGGATCTGTGCCCCTGAAATGTGCTGCAGGCTGTGGGATCCGCTCGGTGGGCAGGGAAAGGAGAAGGGAGGAGGGTGGGATTGATGTGAATTGATCCAAACCTGATCAAACCGCTCCTGAACGCTTTGAATCTGCAGGGGGGGCTGCAAAAATGGGCTGTTTTATCCAGCATCTCGTTAACCTGTGGGAATTGGCACCACCAGCTAATAATGCCTCACAGGCTTCCCGAAGAAAAGGCAGGAGGGGGGGGAAAAAATCCCCCTTGGATGTCTGAGCAGGACATCTGCAGGGCCGGGCTCCTTTCATGGCACGGAATAAACCCGTTTATAAGGGCCATAAACGGGGAGCTGGGGCTGGCACCATTCTCCCCCGGCGCCTGGGGACTCCACAATTGTCCCCTGCCCCCTCCCGAGCCTTCCTGCCAGGCTGGGGCTGCCCATTGTGGGGACAGGATGCTGCCCTGGCCCAGGCGGCCCTTTGATCCAGGACACAGTTTCCCAGGCCAAATAAAAGCTCTGCCACTTCAGCTTTTTTTAATTCCCTCTTCCTCTCCACGCCTAAACCTCCTCGGTTTGGGCGTTAGCACTTCCAGGAGGTGCCAAAGGGGCGCTGACGGGTTAAAAATCAGATTTTCCTCCGCATTAACCCAAAATGCGGGGAGGATGGAGCAGGACCTGCCTTTGGGATGCCCAGAGCTGCCGTGGCCTCGTCAGGGAATTATTTGGGAGCGTGTTTGGGGAAAAGCTGGAGGCTCTGTGGAAGGAGCAGCCTTGATTTACCTCTCCAGGTTGTTCCAAGCGTTGCACATGTGAGGGAGGATGAAATTGTGTCTCCATGGGGGACAGATGTTCTCCGGCGGTGATTCCCGTGGTTCTGCTGTTCCCAGGCAAACAGCGCGGCACGTCCTGGGGGATGAGGGAGCACAGGCAGGATTTTTATCCGAGGATTTTAACCCTGAGCTCATAAAACTGATTCCTTTGTGCCTCTCATTCAATAGTCCCAACTTCCCTTCTTCCTATTCCAGTTTTTATTGGTCTGGTAATTCCCTTTGCCCACAGGAAAGGATTTTCCATGGAAGGGCCGTGCCCTTTGGCTGCTCTTCCCTGCGTCATTTACTTGAAATTCCCTGAATTTCCCATTAGGACAGAGATGGATCCCCCCCAAGCTGCCCGTGCCCTCGGCCTCCTCCCCTCCCTGATTCCATCCTCTCCACGCTCCTTGTTCTTTTGTTCCCGGCAGGAACTCCCATCAACAGGATCCCCATCATGGCCAAGCAGATCCTGGATCTCTACATGCTCTACAAGCTGGTGACCGAGAAGGGTGGGCTGGTGGAGATCATCAACAAGAAGATCTGGAGGGAGATCACCAAAGGCCTTAACCTGCCCACCTCCATCACCAGCGCTGCCTTCACCCTGCGCACGCAGTGAGTTGGGAATAACGAGCTCCCACAGGGAATTGCCATCCACACCTTTTATCTCCTCCAGCTGGTTTAATGCCTGGCAATTCAGCACCTCCTTCCTTTGAGGATTGGGTACCTCGCCTGCAGCGCGGGGATGGGGAAGGAAAAGTGGGATAAGGAGGGTAAAAAGGACAAGTAGAAGTGAAATTGTAAAATTGAACGGGGTGAAACTGTGCCTTAGCAATGAAGGAATAGACAATACAGAGAATATTTCAGTTGTGAGGGAGTTCTGGATGATTCTTTGAGGATATTTCAGTTTTGATGGCATTCTGGAAGATTCTTTGTGGCTGTTCCAGTTGTGAGGAAATTCTAGATGATTTATAGACAGCATTTCGGTTTTGATGGTATTCTGGATGATTCTTTGAGGATATTTCAGTTGTGAGGGAATTCTCGACGATTCTTTGAGGATATTTCAGTTGTGAATGAATTCTGGGTGGTTTTTGGAAGACATTTCAGTTGTGAGGGAATTCTGGATGATTTATAGACAATATTTCAGTTGTGAGGGAATTCTGAGTGGTTTATCAAAGATATTTCAGTTTTGATGCTATTTTGGATGATTCTTTGAGGATATCTCAGTTGTGAGGGAGTTCTGGATCTCAGTTGTGAGGGAATTCTGGGTGTTTTATCGAGGATATTTCAGTTGTGAGGGAATTCTGGGTGGTTTATGGAAGATATTTCACTTGTGAGGGAATTCTGGGTGGTTTTTCGAGGATATTTCAGTTGTGAGTGATTTCTGTGTGGTTTATCGAGGATATTTCAGTTGTGAGGGAATTCTGGGTGGTTTATCGCGGATATTTCAGTTCTGAGGGAATTCTGGGTGGTTTATCGAGGGTATTTCACTTGTGAGTGAATTCTGTGTGGTTTATCGAGGATATTTCAGTTGTGAGGGAATTCTGGATGATTTATAGACAATATTTCACTTGTGAGTGATTTCTGTGTGGTTTATCGAGGATATTTCAGCTGTGAGTGAATTCTGGGTGGTTTATCGAGGGTATTTCAGTTCTGAGGGAATTCTGGGTGGTTTATCGAGGATATTTCACTTGTGAGGGAATTCTGGGTGGTTTATCGAGGATATTTCACTTGTGAGTGAATTCTGTGTGGTTTTTCGAGGATATTTCACTTGTGAGTGAATTCTGGGTGGTTTATCGAGGATTTTTCCCTCGGCCAGCAGCACGTGCCGTGATCTCTGTCCCTCTCCCCAGGTACATGAAGTACCTCTACGCCTACGAGTGCGAGAAGAAGTCGCTGAGCTCCCCGGCCGAGCTCCAGGCCGCCATCGACGGCAACCGGCGCGAGGGCCGGCGGCCCAGCTACAGCTCCTCCCTGTTCAGCTACTCGCCCTCGGCGCCAGCGCCTCCTTCCCTGCTGTCCCCCCCCAAAATCCGCTTCCCCATCATCGGCATGGCGCCGGGCAGCGGCACCGGCAACCCCCGCGTGTCTCCGGCCGTCAGGAAAGGTCAGCGGCGCGTCCGCGGTGGTTTGCTGGGCGGTCGGCGGTGGTTTGCTGGGCGGTCGGCGGTGGTTTGCTGGGCGGTCGGCGGTGGTTTGCTGGGTGGTTGGCGGTGGTTTGCTGGGCGGTCGGCGGTGGTTTCCGCCTCGGAGTGTGGGAGCAGGGGGTCGGGAACATCCCGTGGCTGAGCCAGCTCTCCTCGGGCAGGTGACAGCGTGCCGCTGACCGTGTCCATGCCAAGCCGCATGGCCGTGCCCGTGAGCCTGGGCGGGCAGCAGGGCGCCGTGGCGGCCAGGACGGCCACCCTGGAGCAGCTGAGGGAGCGGCTGGAGGCGGGAGAGCCCCCGGAGAAGAAGGCGGCGCGGATGTCGGAGGAGGAGCAGCGGCTGGTGCAGCAGGCGCTGCAGCGCAACCTGTTCAGCGTGGCCCGGCAGATCCCCATGAAGATCAAAATCAACGGGAAAGGTCAGGCACAGAAATCCTCGGGAAGCAGCGGGGAGGGAAAGGCTCCCGGCCTGCAATGTCACACACCTCTGGGGGCCCAGGCAGAGCATGGCACAGAGCTGTTAGAGCACGGGCTTGTGTTGGGTTTTCCTGCTGGAAAAATCCTTCAAATCCATTTCCTCCTAATCCATTTCCTCCTAATCCATTTCCTCCAAATCCATTTCCTCCAATTCCATTTCCTCCAAATCCATGAGGACCTTTGCCACGTTGCCAGAGCTCCGAGCTGGTGAAGTTTGGCAGGGCTGGGGAGGAAGGGAGGAGCTGTTCTTGCTCCAGCAGTGCTGCTTTGAGGTGCTTGGCCACAAATAGGGGTGGGGAAGGTCAAAGCAGGTTCCTCTTCCACAGCAGCAGCAGCAGCTCCTGGCAGCTCTGCATCCACCTGAATTTCACATGGAAACCAAAAGAGCCAGGGAAAGGGAATACAAATTTTATCCAGGAGTGTTCATTCCGTCTCCCCTGAACTCCCAAAGCCCAGACACTGAGAGCGATTGCGGTCCCTGCAGACAGGAACAGGCTGAGCCCTGAGGATTCAGGGCTGGATTCCCTCCTCTGGCAGGGCTGTCCTGTGTTCTGTGCCCTCCTTTTCCCCACATAAAATCAGATGGAGCTCTGGGAGCTGCTCAGAGAGGTGGTTTGGGTATACCCAGCATGGCTTGATGACAACCTTGAGGTTCAGCATTAATAATGTGGGGTTTTTGGTGGGGGAGGCCTTGCTGCCCTCCGTGGAGGAGCAATCCCAAAATCCAGGCTCACTCTCGTGGAGATTCAGGAGCTCCTGGAAGAGTTTCTTGTTGTTTCCATGCCCATCACTCCCCAGGCTGAGGAAATGGAAGAAAATCCCGATTTTCATGGAGTGTCCCTGGGTTTTCCCTCCCTCCAGCGGCCGCTGGAGCTGCTGCAGTCCGAGCACATCCAGCGAAATCCAGCTGAGAGTGAAATCGGGGCTTGTCTCCTGCGCTCCCAGCCCTTCCTGGGGAGGGAATTCCTGCTGGGAAAGATTTCCAAACTCCTCTCCCAGCCTCACCAAAGCGTTTCAACACCTTTGTAGCCTGGTCAGGGAATGGGTTTGGGTTGGGAGGGACCTCAAAGCCATGGGCAGGGACGTTTCCCATATGCCAGGAGCCCCATCCAGCCCCGGCACTGGCAGGGATCGGGGAATGAGGGCGCTGGGTGGGCACATCCTGCCCTAAGAGGGGGCAGCAGGGGGGCAGTGTTCACCTCTGGGGGTGGAGGGGATGGGGTCCATGCCCCCTAACTCTGCCTCCCTCCCTCCCTGGCACCAGACAAGGGCGACTCGGCGGCGCTGAACCTGTCCCACAATGGCATCGGCAGCATCAACATGTCCGTGGAGATCAACGGCACCACCTACGCTGGTGAGAGATCCCCTGGGAATGGGAGAGATCCCCTGGGAATGGGAGAGATCCCCTGGGAATGGGAGAGATCCCCTGGGAATGGGAGAGATCCCCTGGGAATGGGAGAGATCCCCTGGGAATGGGAGAGCTCTGCTGGGAATGGGAGAGATCCCCTGGGAACGGGAGAGCCCCCCTGGGAACAGGAATGGGTGGGATGGGGGTGGTCACTGCCAGGTGGCAGCAGGAGGTGATTCTTGTTCGCTGGGCTGGGCGGGATGAGCGCCTTTGCCGCGGTGCTTGTGCTATAAAATCCGAGGGCAGGGGGTTGGAATCTCCGTGGAAGTGTTAGTAGGAAGGAGCATTATCCCTGTTCTCCTGAGGAGGAGCTGTGCTGGGCTGTCCCAGCAGGAACTGTCCCCGCTGGAGCAGCTCCCTTCTCCACGTCACGCCCGCGCATCCTCGGGCAAATCCCAAGTGGGAGGCCTGGCTCTGCCTGGCCCTGACCCGAGGGGATAACCCCTTCTGTCCGAGGGCAGGAGCCCTTTGGGATCTGTTGTGTGGCTCCAGCAGCAGGCACGAGCGCTGTGGAGCCAGCCTGGCCATGGTGGTGGGAGAGCCCTCCCCGTGCCAGGCTGAGCCGCCCTGTGCCCACAGGGGTGCTGTTTGCCCAGAAGCCCGTGGTGCAGCTCCTGGCCGGCTCGGGAACGCAGAGCTCGTGCAGCAGCAGCAGCAGCAGCAGCAGCAGCAGCTCCCACTGCTCCCCCAGCCCTACCTCATCGCGGGGCACGCCCGGCGCAGAGCCCTCCACCAGCTGGTCCCTCTGACGGGCACTGCCCCGGGCACACAGATACCTCACCTCAAGGAACCTGCTCTCGTGGCTGGCCAGCAACAGGAGGATGATGATGGTGGTGGTGGGGGTGGTGGTGGTGGTGGTGAAACCTTCCCATGCCAGCGAGTTTTCCTTCATTGTCTCTTTGTCCGGCCTTTTTTTGCTTTGTTTCCCCCACCCTTTCCTTCCACCCGTTTGCTCTTTGTTTCCTCCTCCTCCTCCTCCTCCCAGGGTTTGTGGTGTTCCCCTGCCCTGGAGGGGGCACACCTGGCGTTTCTCAATCAGGGATGGGCTCCAGGCGTGGCCGGGACGTCACCAGGGCAGGGAAAGGGCCGGGGCTGGGCTGGGCACCCCAGTTGTGCTGGAACCGCCAGGGCTTTTCCCAGCCACGGCTCCGTGTTTTGACAATCCTGAGAGCCAGGGGTGCCTGGCCCTGTCCTCCCATGGCAATCTGCTTGTGCTCCTTCCTGCTGTGGCTCCTGAGCCTCCCTCCTGTTCCTCTCCAGGGTTTTGGCACCATCAGCTGCTCTGGCTGGTGCCAGCTCCCCCCTGGAGCCCTGAGCACCCCTGAGTGTCCCATGTCCCCTGAGCAGTGACACAGACAGCCTGGGCACACTGCTGGGGCTCTGTGTCACCCCTGAGTGTCCTGTGTCCCCTGAGCAGTGACACAGCCTGGGCACGCTGCTGGGGCTCCGTGTGCCGGCCCTGGGCTGGCCCAGGCTCCCTGGAGCAGCTCTGGGAGCTCTGCCAGGCTGAGCTCAGGGGTGCTGCTGGCATCCAGCCGGGCACCTGGCTGTGGTCAATGTGGGGATCTGGGGCTCTGAACAGACCCCCCCCTCCGATTGTACCCCAGCAGGGGAAACCTTCTGCTCCCCAGGGAGAGGCAGAGCACAGGGAACCCAGCCCTTCCCAGCCCTGGCACCCCAGGCTGGAAGCAGAGCCGGAGTTCCCTGCTCTGTGAATCAGCTGCTCCGGTGGCCTCGTGCTGTCCCCGTCCTTCCCCGTGCCCCTGGTGACGTCCCTGCCATCCCTCCTGCCCTGGTGACGTCCCTCCCGTGCTCCAGGCCCAAGTCAGGTTTTTTTGAGCAGATGAAATACCTCAGATATGTACTTGTTGGGTTGGTTTTGTTTGTGTTGGGTTGGTTGTTTTTTTTTTACCTCTTCAGGAAGTATTGGCATATCCTATCGCTTGGGGGTTTTCGTTAGGTGGGTTTGCTGACTTTGTGTTTGCTTTTATTTGTGTTCGCTTCTAAACGGATCACCAAAGACAGGGAGTTCAGAAAGGCTGAGCAGAGGAGCAGTGGCTTCCCCACCCTCCAGGAGCTGAGCTCCAGCACCATCCCAGGACCTGTGTCCGGTGGGAAAACGGGGCCAAAAAGGGATCTGTGCCTTGTCCTGGCTTTCCCCAGCTCTGGGCTCTGTGCTGGTGCTGCTTCCCCCGGCGTGCTGGGGTTATCCTGCCCCGCGAGGAGCTGGGAATGCACATGTCCTGAAGGGATGCTGCTGTTCCCGGTGCCCTCCCTGTGCCTGGGGGAGCCAGGCTGACCCTGCAGCCTCCCTGGCATTTCCTCCTCGCAGACTCCCGGAGGATTTTGCAGCCTCTGGGACTCTATCAGATGATTTCTATTTTTTTTTTTCCTTTTGGTTGTTTTTTTTTGTTTGTTCGTTTGTTTTTTATTTTATTCGGGGGTGGGGTTGGGGCTGTTTCCTCTGAGTGGGACTGGGGCACTTTCTGCTTTTCCCCCTGCTCTGCTCCCCAGCCCCGGGGAGCAGAGGCTGCTCCGGGGTGGGGTTGCTTTGTCTCACTTGCTAACGTTGTGTTTTCTTGCACAGAAAGGCACTCGAATCACTGAATTGCTTGGACACTACTAGAGTATTAATGTTTATAAGCTTTACTCAACCTAGACTGGAACTAGCCAGGGACTAACAGATTGTTTTGTATCCAATTCAGGGAAAGAATCAGGTCTGGAAAGCCTAACAGATACCTCAGTTAAATAAGCTGCAACAATAAACCGGTCCTTTTCCCAGCCCAGGGTGACAAGGACCATGCAGACTGTGAAGAGTTAACCCTTTCCCTCGGCCTGGCTTTGGCCCTGGCAGCCTGAGCTGCGGGTCTCCTGCTGAGCTGCCAGGCTTTGGGTTGGGGGTGCTGGAAACCAGCAGAGAGCGGGGGAGGCTGGGCGGGGGCCGCAGCCCCGCGCGGTTCTCAGGGTTTGATGCTGCCTGCAGGACGTTCCCGAGGGCACAGCTCCCGCTTTGCAGCGTCGCTCCATCCTCCCCCAGCTCCACACACCAGCCAAAAAAAAAAACAAACCCAGCTTGCTCCCTCCCCCGGCGCTTCCAGGGGGGAAAAGCGAGCCGAGCCCGCTCCCGGGGCTGCGGGGAAGGCGCGGAGGGTGGGATGAGGGGAGGCTCCCGCGGCGAACGCGAGCGTTCCCAGGGGAGACTGCGATCAGATGTTCTCCCCAACCAGCTGCAGCAGCCTTGCTAACTAGTTTTCTTACCTATTTAAAAGAAAAAAAAATAATAAATAAGTAAATAAAAACAAACGTGATAGCCTAGGCGGTGGATAAATACCTCAACGTCTCCTTCCAACAAGTGTCTGTATATGTTGTTGTTGGTTTTTTTCTATCTTACAGGTTATCTGAATGTTTATATTCCAATAAACTTCTACCTCTTCACACCGTGACCCCCACGCCTGCTTTGTGCCCCCAGCTGGCTCCCTGAGCTTAAAGAATTCCCAGATATTCCCAGAGGTTGGAGTTTGTCCTTGCAGGGGCCCTGAGCTCCCAGTTCGGAGCTGGGTCCGCGGGGGCTGGGTGGAACCACGGCACTTGCAGGCTGGGTTCTGACGGCATCTCACGGGATCTCCCGTCCCAGGTGTCGCTGGAGCTGTCCCGAATCCCGCCTGTCACCACCTGCTCCCCGCAAGAAGGGAGCTGGGTGCCTCCCTCCCTCCCTCCCTCCCTCCCTCCCCGCAGCCTCGCTGTTGGCAGCGGCCGCGGGCCCGCTCCCGCTCCCTCCCGTCCCAGCCTTGCCCCGTGCCCGCATTCGCCTTGGCCGGGTGCCGGGGAGGCGATGGAGCCCTCGACCTTCCTCCTGGTCCTCCCCCCGTGGAAGCAGAACCTCTGCCCTACCCTGGTGGCCCGGCTGCAGGTCAGCTCCGCTCCCAGCCTATCGCAGCCTCTGCCCCCACCTCCCCTCCGCTCCTGCCCACCCCTCCCGGCCCGGCTGCTCCCGGCTCCGGCTGCTCCCGGTTGTTCAAGGACTCCCCCGCCGCCGGCGATGCCCGCAGCAGGTAAGGTGGGGTCCCTGCTGGGTTTGTGCACCGGCGGCTGCAAAGGGATGTCCCCCGGGCCCGGGCTGCTCGGACACCCAGCTGAGAGCCCGAGCTGCTCGCCCCACGCCCTGCAGCCCCTGGCCCGCACGGGATCCTCCAGCCCCGCAAGCCGAAGCGGGCATCCCAAAGGTCCGGTGCGCGTTGCCACCCCCCGGGCCCGCAGATTCCCCCCCGTGTGTCCGCACGCCCGGGCTGGACACGCTCCGGCAATCCCAGCTCGCTCTCCCGGGGCTGCACGGCCGCGGACATCGGCAGGCGCTGTTCGGTCTGGAATTCAATCCCCCGAGGGAAATTCCCAGCCAGCCCCCTCCCCTCCATCCGTCCCTAAATTCAGCTCATCCCAGCCACGACCCGGCTCCCGAACAAACAACAAAGGGCTGGGGTGAGTCCAGAGCGGATTAAAGCACCTGGGCAGGGAGGCCCGGCCCCGCGGGGTGAGACAATGCCGGCTTTTCTCCTTCCAACATCCCCATCCCTCCGTGGGACCCGGCTCAGGCTCTGGCACGGCTTCGTCCCGGCCCTGTTCTCCTTAATCCCTCGCTCCAGTGCTGGAAGCGAAGCCAGCTCTGGGCACAGGGAGGATTTCTGCCAGCACAGCCCCACAGATGCCACCTCTGAAACTCAGGAACTAAATTCCAAAGGAACTTCACCCCCGTGATGTCCAGGAGTTGCTTCCCTGCTCCCTAAAGGCCGAGTGTGCAGGGATGCCCTCTTTCCAGGGAGCCCAAAACCCTGCGGGCATCCCTGCAAGGAGGAGTAAAACCCAGCTCATCGCAGCCCAGGGACGAGGTTCCCTTCTTTTGGGACCGGGCTTGGCTTGTCTCAGCCCTCAGGGGCCGCTGCCGCTTTGAATCTGGCCCGGACACCCCAAATCCCCCCTCACGGGTGCCCCCACTCCCCTGCGCACCCTCTGAGCCCCCACCGCAGCCCGGCCGATCGTGCCCGAGCTGCGTCAGCCTGGCAGCGGCGCTGATAAGTGCCCGCTTTCCACGGCCCTTATCGCTGCTGGGGTGCGGCCGGCTTCGCTTTAGCCCCGGACTCGTGTCAGGCAGCCCGAGCTCGCGTCCCACCTGCTGCCTTTGGGACGTTCCAGCTCAATCCCAGTTTGCAAAGAGCGGGGAGGGGGCTCCGGGAGAGAGGGCACAGCCCTGCTGAGATCCTCCAGCTGACGGTGCCCATCTCTCTCTCTCTGCAGAGCACCTGCAGGTGTCCCTGGGCTCGGGGTTGTTCCTCCTGTGCCTCGGCGTGCTCCTGGGCTGTGCCGTGTGCCGCTGGCACCGCCGGCGCCCGGGCCGCCCCCTCGGCCGGCAGCGAGTGGAGCTGGGGGCGGCTCTGCCCGCGGCCACCGTGCCCGTGCCCATCCAGCAGCGCGGCGAGGAGCTGACGGGTGCCCGGGCAGAGGAGATTTCCCCGGCATCCCGGGGGGGCTCGCCGCACGGCAGAGCGTCCCTGCCCACCCTCCCCTTCCTCCCGCAGCTGGCGGGGCTGTGGCAGCGCCGCTGCACCATCGCCGGCACGGAAATCCCGTGCAACGAGCGGAGCCCGCTGGTCCCCGCCGTGCCGGGGTCCCCACCGCGCTCCGGGCGGCGTCCCCGGCTCCACTGCGACCTGCGCTACTCCCTGCCCGAGGCCACCCTCACCGTCACCGTCCTCGGCGTCTCGCAGCTGCCCCAGGGCCACCGGGGCTCCCGAGTCAAGGTGTCCCTGGTGTCCCGCCGCCCGTCCGTGCGCCGCAGGAACCTCCGCCGGGAGCCGCGCCCGTGCCGCTTCGGCCCGTATGGCCCGGAGGAGCTGGGCAGCTGCACCCTGCGCTTTGCTGTCTACACCAGGTCACGGAGCCTCCAGGATTCCTTCGTGGGCGAGGTCCTGTTCCCCTGCGCCGAGACCTCCTGGGACCCCCGCGCCCCCTCCAGCTACTGCTGGGAGCTGGCAAACACCAAAACCAAGCTCAGCAAGGTCAGCACGGCAGCGTTTGGGCTGAGTTTTGCTTGAGCTCAGAGCCCTGGAACTCCACGGGCAGAGGCAGAGCCTCCTCCAAGCAGGAACCCCATGGTGTGTCCAGTACATGTCCATGGCAGTGCCTCGGTCCGGGCTGTGCACCCCATCCTCAGGGGTGCTGGGGTGGGAGGGGCAGACAGAGCTGGCACCATCCCTGCAGTGATGGTGAGCATCAAACCCAGCTTGTCGGGTCACTCCTGCCCATCCCTGACCTGCTGGGGGACAGGCACGGAGGGGCTGGAAGGGCTGGATGAGGTCACAGGGGGAAGGACTGGATGAGGTCAGAGGTGGAAGGACTGGATGAGGTCACAGGTGGAAGGGCTGGATGGGGTCACAGGTGGAAGGACTGGATGAGGTCAGAGGTGGAAGGACATGATGAGGTCACAGGTGGAAGGACATGATGAAGTCACAGATGGTTTCACGGTGTCTCCTGCTCTCTCCTCCGTTCCAGCACCGCAGTGCCCACACCCTGAGCTGCAGCATCTTCTCCTCGGTCCCCAGAGGCCTGGGCCGGCTCCTCCTGCTGCTGCAGCACCAGGCTCAGGCAGGGCGCATCAAGGTGCTGCTGCGCAAGGCAGAGGCGCTGGGCCGGCTCTCCCGCCTGCCGGGCGCCCCAGGTAGGGCACGGGGACCGTGATGTGCCCAGCTGGGCACAGGGAACAGCTCCCCTTCCTTTTGCTTGGCAGATTCCCCTATTCCCTCTCAAACTTCTCTCTTCCAAGCAAGGGTGAGGGTTGGAATGAGAAGATCTTTGGGGTTCCTTCCAACCAAAACCATTCTGAGATTCTATGAAAATGAAAATGAGCACAGGGAGCTTAATACAGATCTAGGTATCTCCAATATGGTCCCAAAGTGCTTGAAATATATTTATTTATGGCCCAAAATTAGCATGTGGCTTTCTGTCCTGCTGCCTGTCGTCACCTCTGGCTCTCCCTGCTCTCTGGGATGTGGGCAGGGATGTGAGCTGAGGATTTTGGAGGTCTCTGCTCTCAAGGAGGGACAGGCAGGTGAAACCTGAGTAGCTCTGTGCTCTCCCCACAGCTCCAGAGAGCCCCACGGGGGTCCCGCAGCCCCCCAAACACCGCCTGGCAGCTGCCAGCCTCCCTCCCTGGCATGTGTCCCCCTCTCCAGGGCTCTGTCTCCATTTCCAGGCCACTACGTCATCGTCCATCTCCACCACGACGGCCACATCATCGACACCAAGGAGACCAAGTCCGCCAGTGGCTACAACCCCGTGTGGAACGCGCCCTTCCTCTTCAGCATCCCTGCTGGGGACATCCAGCAGCAGGAGCTGGCCTTGGAGTTCATTGTCATGCAGGTGAGGTGACCGAGGCCCAGGAGGTGACCTGGCTCAGTGGGCTCAGCCCCGCAGGAGCTGGTTCTCACCACCCACGGGAGGTTTCTGGGGTGGGACGGCTCCTCTAGGGAGAAGGGAATGCCACCAACCGTGTCTCCCTGCCCTGTGCTGCCCCAGGCTCGGCTCCACGCCCGCGGCTCCATGCTGGGCCGTGTCCAGGTGGGGCCAGGTGCCCCCGGGACCGGGATGCTGCACTGGAGGGACATGTGCAGCCGGGCACCACTGGAGTCGGAGAGTTGGCATTGCATCCAGCCCCCTGCGCCCGGCCCTTGATCCTGTGGGGAAGGACTCGGGACTGAGCCAGGGGGGCTCCGAGCTGTGGAGAGGGGAGGTGGCACCCACACACCAGCGGGGGAGAAGTCCTGGCTCCATCTCTGGGGCTGGAGATCACTGGTGGTCGGCACAAGCCCATCCTGAACAGCTCTGGAGGGGACTAAGCCCATCTGAGGTGGGAGCGGAGAGGAGCTTCGTCGGCTCCATTCTGTCTGCTCCATCCCCTGTCTGCCCCGTCCCGTCTGCTCCATCCCCTGTCTGCTCCATCCTGTCTGCTCCGTCCCCTGTCTGCTCCATCCTGTCTGCCCCATCCCCTGTCTGCCCCATCCTGTCTGCTCCATCCTGTCTGCTCCGTCCCCTGTCTGCTCCATCCTGTCTGCCCCATCCCCTGTCTGCCCCATCCTGTCTGCTCCATCCTGTCTGCTCCGTCCCCTGTCTGCTCCATCCTGTCTGCCCCATCCCCTGTCTGCCCCATCCTGTCTGCTCCATCCTGTCTGCTCCGTCCCCTGTCTGCTCCATCCTGTCTGCCCCATCCCCTGTCTGCCCCATCCTGTCTGCTCCATCCTGTCTGCTCCGTCCCCTGTCTGCTCCATCCTGTCTGCCCCATCCCCTGTCTGCCCCATCCTGTCTGCTCCATCCTGTCTGCTCCGTCCCCTGTCTGCTCCATCCTGTCTGCCCCATCCCCTGTCTGCCCCATCCTGTCTGCTCCATCCTGTCTGCTCCGTCCCCTGTCTGCTCCATCCTGTCTGCCCCATCCCCTGTCTGCCCCATCCTGTCTGCTCCATCCTGTCTGCTCCGTCCCCTGTCTGCTCCATCCTGTCTGCCCCATCCCCTGTCTGCCCCATCCTGTCTGCTCCATCCTGTCTGCTCCGTCCCCTGTCTGCTCCATCCTGTCTGCCCCATCCCCTGTCTGCCCCATCCTGTCTGCTCCATCCTGTCTGCTCCGTCCCCTGTCTGCTCCATCCTGTCTGCCCCATCCCCTGTCTGCCCCATCCTGTCTGCTCCATCCTGTCTGCTCCGTCCCCTGTCTGCTCCATCCTGTCTGCCCCATCCCCTGTCTGCCCCATCCTGTCTGCTCCATCCTGTCTGCTCCGTCCCCTGTCTGCTCCATCCTGTCTGCCCCATCCCCTGTCTGCCCCATCCTGTCTGCTCCATCCTGTCTGCTCCGTCCCCTGTCTGCTCCATCCTGTCTGCCCCATCCCCTGTCTGCCCCATCCTGTCTGCTCCATCCTGTCTGCTCCGTCCCCTGTCTGCTCCATCCTGTCTGCCCCATCCCCTGTCTGCCCCATCCTGTCTGCTCCATCCTGTCTGCTCCGTCCCCTGTCTGCTCCATCCTGTCTGCCCCATCCCCTGTCTGCCCCATCCTGTCTGCTCCATCCTGTCTGCTCCGTCCCCTGTCTGCTCCATCCTGTCTGCCCCATCCCCTGTCTGCCCCATCCTGTCTGCTCCATCCTGTCTGCTCCGTCCCCTGTCTGCTCCATCCTGTCTGCCCCATCCCCTGTCTGCCCCATCCTGTCTGCTCCATCCTGTCTGCTCCGTCCCCTGTCTGCTCCATCCTGTCTGCCCCATCCCCTGTCTGCCCCATCCTGTCTGCTCCATCCTGTCTGCTCCGTCCCGTCTGCTCCATCCCCTGTCTGCTCCATCCCCTGTCTGCTCCATCCCCTGTCTGCTCCGTCCCCTGTCTGCTCCATCCTGTCTGCCCCATCCCCTGTCTCCACCTGGAATCTCAGCTGCGGAGGAGCCGGGTGGGACAATCACCCAACCGAGATCCCTGTGGCCACCACAGTGGTGACATCTCCTGCCCTTTCCACCCCAGCTGAGTGGAGCCGCGGGAACACACCAATGTCACCTGCTGAAAAAGGTGTCCATCGGCATTTCTGATTGAGCGCTGGCCCTAATGAGGGCTCAATAAATAAATAAAGGGTTGGGAATGATCACATGCATTGAGCTCTCTCTCCTGTCCATGGACCACCACAACGAAGACCGCGGCAGGGTCGCCACGGGGAGGAAGGCCGTGGCGAGGGTTGTCACTGTGGGGTAGTCACGGTGAGGATGACCATGGTGAGGAAGGCCCCGAGGTGAGGAAGGCCTGCAGCGAGATAAGCCGTGATGAGGAAGACCACGGTGAGGCAGGTGATGAAGATCGTGCTGAGGGAGAGGCCGGCCATGGTGAAGGCAGAGTCTGAGGAGGAAGGTCGTGGTGAGGAAGGCTGTGTGGGAGGTGAGGATGGCCACGGAGAGGAAGGCTGTGGTGAGGACGGCCCTGAGCACCTCGGCGGGCCGGAGCTCGGGGAGGAAGCCGTGCTGAGGGTGAGGATGGCGGGGAGGAAGGACAGGGTGACGCGGACTGCGGGCACCTAGAGCGCTTCGGCTCCTCCCAGCCCAGTTCAAACCCAGCTCGTCCCTCCAGGGCGGCTTTAGCTCAGTCCCGGCCCCTGCCATCCGTCTGAGGCGGGACTAACCCCATCCCTCCGAGGCGGGATTAACCCCAGCCCGGCTTTCTGAGGCGGGTTTAACCCCGGCCCGTCCCTCTGAGGCGGGACTAACCCCATCCCTCCGAGGCGGGTTTAACCCCAGCCCTTCCCTCTCAGTCGGGTTTAACTCCGTCCTGTCCCTCTGAGGCGGGATTAACCCCGGCCCGTCCCTCTGAGGCGGGATTAACCTCGTGCCGTCCCTCTGAGGCGGGATTAACCCCAGCCCGGCTTTCTGAGGCGGGTTTAACCCCAGCCCGTCCCTCTGAGGCGGGATTAACCCCGGCCCGGCTTTCTGAGGCGGGTTTAACCCCGGCCCGGCTTTCTGAGGCGGGATTAACCCCGGCCCGTCCCTCCGAGGCGGGTTTAACCCCGGCCCGTCCCTCCGAGGCGGGTTTAACCCCGTCCGGGAAGCGGAAGCGGCGGGGCTGCGGGGCCGCCGGGG